ACATATATTTTGACCATCACTCCGATCGCGCAAACTTAACGCACATCTAGTTGTGTTGATGAGCCTTTTTCTTCATATGAACAAGAAAAAGTGTACCAAAAAGTACACAAAATTGACTGTGATTAGTACCAAGATAAAAAAAGAAAGTACTAGTTAGGTCCCCTCCTTTTTGCAGGTGGCCCAACGATCACTCTATCCTTGGGTCTATTAATTAAGCAAAAGCAGTTTTTACTTAATTTCTTGCGAGTTGACTTTACATGTAATGCAGTGCCTAGTAGGTTGGTTCTGCTGGCCTTTAATTTTGCTCTTGGATGCAAAAATGCCAAAGTCAGAAAAAAGATAAGTTAGCGACCATTCAATCTCATGTACTGTTTCTGTTGTGTGCTCAACTAGCTCTGAATTTTTAGCCCAACAACGTCTACAGGCACTATTCTGCTCAACCACCCAGTTTGTTTAAAATGCATTCTATCTCGCATAGGATAGCTTTCGGGAGGCAATTCATGATTTAATGATGTTTGCTCATCTGATTGTGATAAAATTATCTTTAGAACTCGCGGCTGGTCAAGTTGTTATATCAAACTGGGCAGTTCAAAATTGCCTCTTCCTCTTCACCCAATCTAATTGAGCAATCCATGCTGGGTGAAAGTATATTTTTAATATCACTTGATTTTTTGTTTTAAGGGAAAAGGAATCGGAAATAAATGGTCGTATCAGTACCCGAAAGAGGATTGGATTGGATTAGAAGAATGTACTACAATCCCGACGAATCTGCACTGTCCTGATGCTCAATGTAAAAGGGAAATAATATTAAGCGAAACTGGGTTCCAAAGAGTCATTTGGTGCAAAACAATATGAAAAGGCGAATGCGAGAGATTCATAAATGCATCTAATCGGACACAGAAAGGAGGATGTTCTTGGATAATCCTAAGTCCATAACTCATTTTTGCAGAGTTTTTTCCTTTATGTATTGAAAATCGACAGAATCAAAGAGAATAATTTTGGAAAAATTCACGCTATTTGGCTCGAATTTCATTTATAAGCACAGTTTCGAGACTACCAGTAAATCGGTTTTATGAAATGTATTCACCCTATTTCGTTTAAGGTGATTAAGGTTTGGCAGTTGAATTTGCCACCTCGCATAACTGATTTACTGAAGGTCCCGAAAATCTG